GCTATGAGCAGCCTCACTCTAGTCGATGAGTTTTCATGCTGAGAAAAATATATTCGTGTTTTAATAATAGCTGGAAAGTTGCAGCTGTCTAAATATATTCCTCTTGTACTGCCATCTCCAGAGGAGAGCTGTAGGTCACTTTTTTTCCTGACCATATTGTTTCTCTATTCCTAATACTGTATGAATAGAGCTCCCCAGTTTTTAAACTGGCTGCGAAGACTGTTTTTGAAAGCTAGACATTGCCATCCAAAATAGATCTGAGGATGCCCTCTCTGCAAACATCTGCTTGCATATCTCTTAACAGTAGCATATGTGGGTGACTGATTTTCTATGACTCCTAAAGGTGAGGGGGAAATGTCTTATCCAGTTATTTCAAAGCATTTTGCTTCCAAAGTGAATTCAATTAAGAGTCATGCTTTTTGAGAGTCATGCTTTTACTATATGGCAGAAAAACACATGCTTAGGGCCCAGTATAATGTTAGCAGTCTTTCTGATGGGGGAAAAGAAATCAGGAAAAATTAGTTCATCTTTGCTTGAAATTGCTAACTAGTTTAAAAAGAAAGGGTATTGGCATGTATTTTCCTAACCATTCTTTTATATGACTATACAATATTTATAGTTCTTTAAGGGTTAGACCTCAGTTATTCAGGCAGGAAGATTTTGTGAGCCCAGTTTATTCCATTTGTTTAAAATATTTATATAGCTTCAGGGAGGTCTGCAATAATAATTTTAAAAATCCTAATGAAATAATAACAGATTATATATTTTTAATTGATCAAAGATCAGTCCAAAGTTATCAGTGATCATTCAAGTGATAACATGCTTTCACAATTATGCATTTCTTACCACTTGAGAGAGCACTTCAACAGTAAACCCAATCAGCATCTCATCTAATGAGACTCTAAGATTTACAGGCGTGGTGGTAGCTGACCAATCTTCCTATTAACTATTTACATGTGTAAAAGGAGGTTCAGAAAAGATAAAACTACTGTTAAAAAATTCTAGCAGCTCTGTAATCATTCATAAAGTAATCATCATGTTTACAATCAACATCAATAGCAGTAAACCTGAGTGTAAGTTTATGTAGTCGGGATATCTGCTTGAAAGCCATTGTTAAAGTTCTGAAGTAAAAAGCAAAGTAAAGAGTCCTATCCCCCAACACTCTTGAACAAAACAGCCCTAGCGAGACCATCTGTGGCAATGTCCCACAGTTGTGTCTCTCCCAAACCTCTTTCCCTTGCAGAGCTGTGTTTCCTTTCTATGGAGAAAAATGTGGAAGCCCCCTCAGAGAAAAAGTTCATGCTCTTAAAAAACGAATGTGAACAGGGTGAGGAGATGTTGCTGCTTATTTTTACACTCACTTATAAATTAATCTCCAGATGTTGGTTCTTTCTAAATTTTGGTGCCTTTTGGTGAACCCTCAAGTGCTCCCTTCCCTTTAGTTACAGCCTCGGGTAGTATCCAAGGGAGAATAAGGGCTTTGAAGTTGCGTGTTAGTGGTTAGGCTCCAGACACAAGGTGGAACAGTAATTTAGTGCAGTGGTTCCCAACCTTGGATCCCCAAATGTTCTTAGACTACAGTTCCAAGAAATCCTGATCAGCACAGCTAGCAGTGAAGGCTTCTGGGCATTTCAGCCCAAGAACATCTTGGGACCCAAGGTTGGGAACCACTGATTTAGTGGATAGAAGACCTTGTAGCGTTACCAACATACGGCTTATAGATGACACACGCATGAATGTATTTTCAGTCATTTGGAAGCCTTTTTAAGATTCCTATATATAGACACTTGGGGGAATCACTCTCTCTTTTATCACCTATACATGGGACAGGAAGCAACAGTTAGAACTGGATATGAAAGAACTGATTGGTTCAAAATTGGGAAAGGAGTACGACAAGGCTGTATATTGTCCCCCTGCTTATTCAACTTATATGCAGAATACATCATG